CCCGGCCCGCCAATTTTTGGGGGGCCAACGGGCCAGCCCGCGGGCCATGGCCCACTTTGCCATCCCTATTCAATATGGATTTTCAAGATTTTTTAAAGAGTCCATTAAAATCTATTGATATTCATTTGAGATTTTTTACAACTTAAAAATAATCAATTAGTATTCAAAAATATAAGGATTTTAAAAGATTGTTATGTTAGAGGGATTTTGAAGGACTTTCTAGTACTATCTATAAATATCAAATTCATAAAATAATCCCATCCAAACCCATCAAATTTTGGAGGATTGTTTGAAGTGTGTAACGTCTAGTCGTGTGGATATTAATTCGTATATAATAATTATGTACATTATATAATTGATATTATTATACATAAAACAAAAGAAAATTTTATAAACTTGCTTACATATAGCACTTTATATTTGCATCACATATTAGACAAAAATATTTACAATAATGTACATACTTATAAACTACTTATTTCTTACACTACTTTTATAATCTTTACATATCTGGTTGATACAAGTTTACAATAGGATTAACATGGTTTGTTGGAGGTAGGAAAAAGGTGACCACTATCGGTCCATCAATAACGGTAGGAATTTCTTGAGTAGAAGAAAACATAAAAGTTGACAGTGCCAATCCTTGAAAAGTGACCGAGTTGGCAACAACATCTACAAACCAAGTGGTTCCTGGAAATATCGCGGAGATGATGGAAGTGAAAGGTCTTGGAAATGTTGGTAGGTCCATCTATTTTTATTTATTTTTATAAATTAATTACACAAGAAACATAAGGAGTCAGAACAATTTTTAAATAAATATTAATAATTACGTAACATACATAGCAATAGTTAATCATAAAATAATCTACATAAAAATTTAAATTATACTTGTAGTGACTAGTCAGGATAAATGAGCATTATCATAATATTAACCAACAAAAGGATTTTTCACCTTAACTCCTTACTCATTTAAATCCCTAAGTTTAAACCCCCAACTACAAATTAATTCAAACTTTCATTCTTATGGCCATAGAATAATATTTATCTTTATAAATATAACAAGAAATAACAACAAGACGAGTTAGAGAGATTTTAGCAAAACTATATTAAGAGTACTAATCATGTAAATGGAAAATGATAATCATTATAAAATAATTAAACAACATAAACTATGAATACCTTATTAATTATTATAAGTAAAAATGCTCATAGGTTAAGCAAATAAATGGGGTTAGGGACACCTCATTATGTAGATAAAAAAAATAACATAAATAAAGAAACATAATAGTAGATAAAACTTTAAAGAGATAAAGTTTTCCTCCCCCTTACCTTAAGAGAAGTAAAATTACTACATTTTTCACTCATTCTCTCTTTACGTTTTGTTCTCGTTCAATTCTTTTTCCCCGTTCCTTTTGTAAGTGATTGTGTTATTTATAGGTGGCTTCATGTGCTATTTATAGATAACACCATGTGTAATCTGCTGTACTACACCACGTAATACGACCACGTAATCTACTTCAGTACGATTTATCTCCAATATTTATCCTCCAGCACTATTTATCTCCAATATTTATTGGCAATCTACTCTAGCATCTGCAACATTTATTCATCTAGCATCTCCAACATTTATTCATCTATAATCTTATCCATTTATTTAGTAAACTTTCTTACATGCAATATCTACTGCTACACATACTCCTCCACTTATTTAGCAAATTATATATTATGTACGTGTAGTGAGTTGCAACATGAGAATATTTATAGGTTTTGTGTAAAAATTTATTTAATTACTATTAAAAATATATAGGGACATGACATGACTTGAACTTGTGACTTGTATCTTATGATCTCTATACATTATAGAACAAACTACTGAACCACTCTATTTTATATGTATATGTTATTATATACATTATAATAGATTGATTCATATGTAATTATAATATTATAAATATTTATAATATTATTGGATATCATACATATATATATATATATATATTTAAATATGATTACCTAAATTAAAACTTATATATATTTATTTATATATATACATAGTGATTAAAATATTATTCTAAAAATTTGAATCATAACTATTTCTAAAAAAAATAATAAAACAACCAATTTTATTTATTTGAAATAAGGTAACTAAAATTTAAAAGAAATATTATTTTAAGAATATATATAAGATAAAATTGAGAATGTTGTATCACAAATTTAGAATATTACAATTCTCCCATACTTACAGGAATTTCGTCCTCAAAATTTTTATTGCTTAAAAATAAATAAGGATAATTTTTCCTAATTTTTTCTTCCAATTCTCACGTAGCATCCCCAATAACATCATTCCAGATGACCTTTACCAGTGAAATCTGTTTGCCTCTCAACTGCTTGATTCTTTTATCTACGATTTGTACAGACATTGTTTCATATGTAAGGTTATCCTTTAATTGTACCGTATCAGGCATTATTACATGAGAATGATCAGAAATATATTTTCTTAATTGAGACACATGAAAGACATTGTGAAGATTAGAAAGAAAAGGAGGTAGAGAAATTTGGTAAGCAATAGGACCTATTTTTCTGAGAATTTGGTAAGGACCAATAAATCGAGGTGTGAGTTTCTTTGATTTCATTACCCTACCAATACAGTTCTTGGTGTAACTTTCAAAAATACATGATCGCCTTCTTGGTGTAATTTAGTGAATACCTAATGTTAATGGGTAAGAAGTGAGTAGATTTTGTTAGCCTATCCACGATAACCCATATGGAATCAAACTTATGAATTGTTCAGGGTAAACCAACAACAAAATCCATTGCTATACTGTCCCATTTCCATTCAGGTATATCTAAGGGTTGTAACATTCCTACTAGTTTTTGGTGTTCTATCTTGGCCTTCTGAAAAATTACGCATGTGGCTACATATTGTGCTACCTCCTTTTTCATTTTAGGCC